CACGAGGTAGATAATGCGATGGTGGTGGAATGATATCAGATAATGTCAGAGGCTTCTCGGTTTGTTCAGGGACTGGGGGAGGGACGGATAGCTTGCCACCGAACTTGAAACCAGTGTTCAACTGACCATCCGACGCTTTGGAACGCATAGAGTCGTTGCTTCGACGCATTTCTGGATAGGGACGGCAAATGTCATCCTGGCATTCGGCTAACAGATGTTCCAGCGTGTCTGAGTCACCAGTGTTTTGGTAAGGGGGCTCCATGCTGTTCTCGACGTTTTCCTCAGTAGTAGTAGTTACATCGGGGACAGACACACTGCGAGGCACAAGGTCTTCAGGTGGCGTCTTGCGGAAATTGAGGGGCAAAGGCGGAACTGGAGGCACGGAGGCTTTCAGGAATCCATCGTCGAGTCCAAGGTCTATCCGAGCAGGTGTGCGGAATGCATTCTCGAGTTGTTCAACGAAGCTCCTTCGGTCTGAGGCACCTGACTCGTTCAGCTTCTTGAGCTCACCAGTGAAGTCGAAGGACTTGTTGGTATCGTCGTCAGAGGATACGTTCCCGCTGTCGTCAAGGTCAGCCTGGTTGGCCTCTTCGTCGATAAGTTGAGCACGGAAAATAGGTTGAGCTTCCGTTTCATCCTGAGTATCAACTGGGAGGGCCACCACGGGGAGATCTTCGTGCGCAGGCTCTACAGGAGATGAGGGCGCGGATATACGATGGAATGATATCGTGTCATCGAAGTTGCGAGTGGACTCGTCGTCGGACTGACCAGCGATGATAACTTGCAATTCGTCTGGAATGTCCGAATCAGGATCCTCAGGGTCTACACAAGGTTCGGTAGATGCGGAACCACCTAGAGTTCCAGTGAGACCAAGACTTTTTCTCGCCTCTGATGCGATGAACATCGACGTGAGGGGACTACGTTGGCTCTGCTTGTGACCCAATACCGAGGCAATGGAACCAGATCGGACATGGCCGCTGTGTCTCTTGAATACAGGGCATGGCGATGGAGCAGGTTCATCGTCCAACTCCAAAGACGGTTCTACACCAATCTTTGATGTCTTAGAGCCAAATGTCTTTGAAGACGGTTCAGCGACCCCGGTAGCAATGGGAGTGGCAGTTAAGGGCGTAGAGCCCTTCGTCAAGATGGGAGACACGTTTCGTTTGGCTGGTTGGAGCGGCTGGAACACCGGCGGAGGATCGAGAGCAGGAGTCGGGGACATCGTCCGTTTATGCGTTGGTCGTGTTATAGGCTTACGGACGACTGGCTTCTTCGGCGAAATCTCCCAGTCAAGCTCAGACCATGGTGCAATTTGTTGACCGATGCGTCCCGGATTCTGCTGGGCTCGAGTTGAACTCAATTTGCTCAAGGATTGTGCATGAGCATAAGGTCTAAGGGAGCTGATGGATGCCATGCTTTCACGAAGACCGCCAGGAGGCAACACTTGGTCCTTGTTAAGAGAACGCCGCTTGACGGGACTCTCGTCTTTAGGAAGAGCCGCCTTCGCTGGTGAGTCGAACGAGGCTAGAGGAGACAGCCTGAGAGGCGAGCCGATGCTGCTAGCTGGTGTTGCCTCGAGGTCCAAGCGATTGATGAGGGAAGCAAGGTCGTTGGTCGCGGCATCGAGGATAGAAATAACACCTAAGATGAATAGTAATGAGTCTTGAGACACTGGTAATGGTGAAGAAAATCAAACTTACCATCACTTTCTTCATATATACATTGGGGCCTTGTCTTTCCGAGAAGCTGCTCTGAGACTGGACGAGCACGAGCTTTCTTCATCGGTGTTTCGAGGGCTGCATCTTCTCCATGGTCAGAATGACCATCGACGGTGGCTTCCTCGATATTCACAACCGGGCCCGTCAGTGAGGACCTGCCTGTCGAGTTTGAAACGACGGAGGGGGGTCGTTGAACAGTCTCCGGGAAGATCTCAGATATAGGTGTTCTTCGACGTGCTTCGGAGCTCCTACGACTTTCTTTCGAGGTACGCTTGTCTCCCGTTCCTGTCGAGTCAGCACTGTCTCGTTTGGCTCGTCGTTCTTTACGCTGCAGTTCTTTGGCATGTTGGAGACCTTCCTCGTCCCATCTGACGGAGACCATCGAGCTGGAAGACGAGCGAGGTGAACGTTCAGAAAAGACAGAGACACCGGATGCAGTCGAGGGCGGTCGAAGTGATGACCCACTGGAAACCACGGAAGATGGGCGGCCAGCAGCATTAAGTATGAGATGGGCTGAATCAACAGAGAGTCGATTCGTGGTGGCAGGGGGCGGTGCAGCAGACGAGACCGACGATGTTGTAGATACATTGCGTACAGTGCGTCGCATAGAGGATGGCAGTCCAAGTCCAAGGATGCTTTGCTTCTTTTTCATTGTAGCAGAAGCAGGGAAAGTACCTTCGATTGGACTGAGAGCACCCGCCTCGAAGCTACTGCCCGAGTAGCGAACAGTCTTCTCCGTTTTCTCTTTCTTCTTTTTCTTTTTCTTCTCTTCTCCTTTTTCTTTCGTCTTGTCATTGCTATTCGTTGCGTTCGTATTCGTAGATGCACTGGGAGTATTTTTGTTGCCTTCCTTCGTGTTGGTAGTCGTGCCAGATAGTGTTGCCCAACTCTTCATACGTGCAATGGACCTTACAGATCGCATGGCACGGATGGCGAGCGAACCTGTGTTGGGTTCATCAGTGGATGGGGGAGCTAGGAGACCATTACTTGATTGCATGGGGCTTGTCACTGAACGGACAGAACCTTGGTTGGGTTCTGGGACAGAGAGTAAAGTCGAGGCGTTGAGCGAGTTGAAACGTGCTCGAGACTCGAGAGGCTTAGAGGGCTCAGGTGCTACAAAGCAATGATAGTCAATAATGTGTAACAGAATTATGATGATAAATGACATACTTTTCGAACGAGCAGATGTTTTTGTCTTGTTCTCCTTCGCCTTTTCTTTCGAGTCCTTCCTTCCTCTGATACTCCACCACTTCAAGCTGTCGTCCCCTTTAACCTTTAACAGGTTGTCAGACGGTACAGCCTTCTCCTTTGGTTGCGAAGCAGAAGGAACGTTGGTAACTTCTCCAAGAGCACCCCATCCCATCCCTTCCAGCCCCAAACGTGACTTCTTCTTCTTGACTACCACAATTTCACCGATGTCGGGATCATCCGCATGGTCGACGTAGATCTCGAAGCCTCCTTTGCCATTGGTTGAACCCCCACCGACGCGTCGAACAACGTCTGAAAAGTCCTTCGTGCCTTTGTCCTTGGTCTTGCTCGTACCAGAGAGCAGCCCGAGCTTTGACTTTTTGGGAACAAGGCGTTTCCGAGGAGCGTCCGAGTCAGAACGGGGGGCAAGTGGTGAGGAGGCAAAGGGAGCAACAGGATCGAATGACGTGTCCGGTCCAGCTGAGGTGCCAGCTACAGACGGTGTAGCAGATATGAAGCGGAATGTTGGCACAGATTGGGGAGGTGTGGCGGTAGGTGCAGAAGAGCCGGCGGCCTGCGCACGAGACAACAGAGGCAGAGAGTTGCGTGCCATCTGGATTCGTTATAGTACACTTGATGTGTTAGCAGATATTGAATTTGAAGGAAAACAAGCGTGAATCGAGGCCGAGACGCGTAAACGTCGTAAGTAGAGAGACAGCAACGGGACCAAAGGTAGCCGTGCTTGATGCTTGAATTTGAGTATAAGTTCTGGTTGCTTGAGGGTTTAAAACGCGTTGATAATCGTGTTGGAAGCTTCGTAAGACTTTGATGACTCGTATGGTGCGTTACTGCGTATGCTTGCGATAGGGTAGTGTATAACGCGACGATTCCGGGATAGGTTGAAAGCCTTCTAGTTTCCAATCGAATGACGGAGTTTCAGTAGGATAGCATATCTATGGGTTAGTTAGGACCGCACCTTTGTGGGCACTCAAGCCGCTTCCGACACCTCCACCTCACACCGAAACGACTCCGAAATTTAGAGAGCTCGTTGAAGTAGAAGAGAACCGTGGGGACCGAGCGCTACCAATTCGAACATAGATCATTGCGGAAGCAAACACGAGGCGTTTGGCTTTGTGGGCGCATCTCCAGGACAAACAGACTCGGGATCTAATCTAATCATTTTACCAGTAAGCTTATCATGAATCAGATGATCACCTTTGGGTCATCTTACTCAATGCGAAGGGTTTGAAGTAGAGATGTTAAGTTGAGGCATTGATCGCCACTACTCTGAGTGTTGTGCGTATGAAGCTGAGGTTATAGCATGTATTGAGAAAGAGTGCGCTAAGCATCAGCGCAAGGACTACAGGACCCGGACTAGTGCCGGTGCTTATTAAAGCAGCATAATACCTGAGAGTGTGTGTCGCTCGTTAGACATGCAGATTAGAAACAATCACGTACTTACATGAATAAATGGTGGACCCAGGTTTGTAACATTCGAATAAGAAAGAAGGTTTCGAGGGATCAACACAGGAGGTGTCAAGCCACACCTAAGGCCGGCACAATATTGGGACTTTATGCGTCTGAGGGATGAGTTCCATGTGAGTTGGGAGGGGGCAGAGCACATAAATGTTCGAAGAGCCATGGAGGGCTTATATTTCAAAACGATGCAGGATAATAGACAAATCAAGGTTGGCTGTGTTTGTCCTTCTGCAAATACTGCAACATTCATGTCTCAGTGGATCCTATCGGAGCCGGTACGACAGATAGCGCTATATGCACGAGTGTCATTATCTAGGACAGTATCAAGTCAGTTTGTAATGCTCCACACTCGACAGATTAGAACTTCTGTGCTTACAGAAACGCCAATTTGAATTCCCTTAAAGTATGCCACAATTCCGGGGGCAACAAAGAGAAAGATTCAGCTACTGTCAAGGAATTACACTTGTTGTCACAAACTTACAAACGATATGGAAAAGGGATGAAAATGAATTTGCCTAACTATATGCGTGTTCAACGTTCATTGTTGAGAGAGTAAAAGTTAAGAGGAACCCAAAATGACATCGATCGATGCAGGTTATTTGATGACAAAAGAAGTTCCCGCTAGCCGACTTGAACGACTGACCTCGTCATAGCATGATAGTACTAGTGACGCGCTCTACCACTGAGCTAAGCGGGACTTGTAATATACGTGAAGATCTATATCGAATACCATTTTCCCAAGTTCCAACTCCGAGCTGCAGCTTGCCGCAGTGCGCTGCCTGCCAGTACATCTTGATTCTTGACGTTGAACGTTGAACACGCCACCTGATTTATCGAATGTCGCATCTCGATATATGTTCAGCCGACCTCCAGCATGGTAATGAATTCCCATCACGACTGCTCATTTCATTGTAACTTAGACAGCTCGCAGCGATGGAATAATTTTGAATTATATGTGGCAACAGATGGTGGACAACGGTAGAGGGTGCTGAGCCCTGTCACACGGGACTTATTGAGAGTCAACTTGTCATTCTCGCCCGACAAAAGCTCCTCTACGAATGCTCGAAACTGACAATGGAGTCGTGGTATGGCAGCTTCAGACAAGAACAACAGGCAACTGTACTAGACATGCTCGTCAATGTGGACTACGAACCCTGACCAGAAGCACTTGATTTGCAACTATGTCTAGTCTCTCGTCATATGCGTCTGGTTTCCTCTGCTTCTACTTCGTGTGCTCATGTGCTTACTCGATACTCGTCCGAACCTATCTGTGTGCCGCAAGGCAGGTAGATGACTCGAGGGGAAGATTCCGATGTGGTCAGTAAGTTGCTGGAATATGCATTCGCTCTAGGCTCTTATCCTGGCCTTCAAATGATATACCGACGCGAACGAGGGCCTCGCATTTGATAACATGCCGCCGTGGCTTATTCAAAAAAAAATGTACACAACCCACTGGCGAGCAAATTGGACCCCTTCTCTCCACAATCACTGTAGAAGTTCGACCAATCCCGTTCGACAAGCCTTCTAAAACCCCTGGATCTTATCTATCTTTCTATAGTGATAGGATTCGATCATTTCGTGCTATTTCCAAAGGTGCATGAGTGTTCGAACCATGATGCTCGCTGGTAGATGTGACGACGTTGAAGCTCGCCCACGATCCCCCATATGTCAACATTTGTCCTGGATCACATTGATGTACTCATGTCAGGCCTGAACCACGTACTACGCGCTGGCACTGCGATTTCAGATGATACTATGGTAAGAGAGTCATTCCTAATCAAAGAGTGATTGATGGAACCCTTCTCTCAGACGTCTGTACCGGTCACATTTAAATCGTACATTCGACATGTCGAAATATTCTCTACTGGCATTCCGATCATCCACGTTTTGTCAATCCAAAAGGTACGTTGTGATGATTGTTTCAGTATCACTTGGGGTAAAGGGTGACCTAAAGTTATCATGAACCACGTTACCGGAGAGCCAGACTTTTACGTTGACTATATGTAGGACTTCTCGAAGAGCCTACGCGAACGGTAATAGCGGTATTGACATCCCTATACCCGTCTATGATAGCCTTACAGCAGTTTAGGTAATGTATATCACCGTTGTGATCTATTTAAGTTGGTATCTCTCGAGGTTGCCCCTACATCCTCGCCCAGATAACCCTTTTCCCTATCGTAAACCATCTCAAGGAAGCAAAGCCTGTTACCTTTTCCACTGATCATCTCTGTATAGAACTATCAATATGCGTCTACATTCTATAGCCCTTCGTTCAGTGTTCGATCAAGTGGTCGAATTGATCGATCCTTCCTCAAGGCAAGGTCCAAATTCACCATGGTGTCACTACCTCAGGACATGGAAAGCACTGGCACTCGTATGTCATGAATGGCATCACATTGCGATTCCGTACCTCTACCATGACATTGCTTTATGCCATGTAGGTCAGATCCCTGCACTGGCGAGGACTCTCAAGAAGAATGCAGAATTTTGCGGGATGATCAAACGTCTAACATACTCCTGCTTTGTTCCCGCGGAATATGACCTAGTTGCCAACCAAGGACTATCATACCTGCTGGATCACTGTTCCGTTCTCGAATCCCTAACATTCACCTCGCCATTTACGGAATGGATAGACGGTATACGTGAAGATGGTACAAAAAGGTTCATAATTCCAGAGGGTCCTTGGGGCTCTGTGACACATTTTACCTACAATCGTGGCGATCCGGCAGTACTCGTGAACCGCGGTCAACATAAACTATCCATTCTTCCTCGCCAGATACTCACATGTCTACCAAACATTACATCCCTTACCCTGATTGTGGATTCTCCAGAGAAGTGCGAATGGGATGAAAAGTTACTTGAACTCACGATGATGCACCTCCAACAAGTTTGCGTGCAGTCCTTTTCTTGTTATACCGCGTTCCGCAAGAAATTCGATCCGACCAAAAACGGGATTCGTATCGAAGAGACATTGTATCCCTTAGTGAATGGTCACGCCTTGCTGCTTGTGCCGACTGCCACATCCATCGGTAGCTTGCAACATGTCGTAATCCGGCACCGATACCCTCATTCGATCTCAACAAATTTTTGAATGCCTTTCAAGGTCATATTGATCTTTGGGAGGATACACACAGATTCGCTCATATACAGAGTGCCCTTCGGGTCCGTCCTCTTATACAGGACTACCATGATGAGGGGGAATGGGATTATTTCAGATCTATGGCGCGTCCTGGGGATGAATACGCACATCTTCGATACGGGCACAAAGTGCGCGAGTATTATCCCCATCCCCGAGTCCGCTTGATCGACGATGCTCTCATCGGCTACCCCAGCGTCTCTTTTATCTTTCCTCCCGGGGAGATTGAAGAAAATGACGAGTCTATCTATGTTTACCATGGGTTTGGGTCCTGCGTCATAGTAACTGCCCATATGATCGTCCGTCACGAAGACTGGTCCTGGGTTGGAAGAAATGTCATGCACCAAGACATTACTGAGGAAGAGGAACAAAATGACGATAGGAATGGTCAGCACCTTCTATATTTATATCCACCATCGAGAAGACATAACAACTGATGTGGTTTATATAGCACTTTTGCCGTTCTATCAAGTCACTTGCATTAACGATGACGTTGCTGCCAAGTACCATGGGCTTACCTGGTCTGATGAGTTATTTTCGGATTGGGATTTATGGGGCGGTACTCACTCTAGCAGCATCCATACAAATTGTCCAGACACGGAGCCCACTGAATCTGACACATCGCCTAGTGAGGATGATGACGAGGGGGACCTTGTTCAGGAAGCGGCGTGGCTGGAAGAGGAATTTGAGGAGGATGCAGTTGTTCAACTGACTGAGGAAGAGGCGCTGCAGATATTCGAGGATATGCAGTGGTAGTGGATGTTTGTATTTAGAGTCCGTATCGACGCTTTAAGAGTTGAAGCTGGGATCTTTGTCGAAACATGCGGAGTCAAAATATCAAATTCTAATGTGGAAGAGGCTCACTTTGCCGTACAATCAACTGACCGTCTTGTATTCGTCTCGAAGGAACATAGAGTCTTCTTCTCTACCATGATCATCAGTATCTACACGTGATGATGATCACCGCCCCTACGCTCCGATTCCGATTCCGTCCCTGCATGAGTTTATGAAATTGGAATGAGTTCGAACCTATCTCAGGATAATACAGAACAACCTGATAAGCGTCCAGAGCGGTCGAAACTGCATTCTTCTAGACCATGGGCAGATTGTGGTGATCTGGATTGGGGTGGCGATGTAGATGGCTATTTCGACAGAAAGGGTGGATAGGCTGCGTGGTTCCAATCCTCTGTCGCGCATAGGAAAGGAAACAAGAGAGCTGCTTGAACCACTAAGTATTCTGTGAGGGGTATATCACCGGAGAGAGGTTCGATCAATGGGTATTCGCTCAGTCTTCGCTGTTGTGGGGCATCCATTTGATCGTAGAGGGCAAAGTTCTGTCGAGGACATTTGACTCCCGGCGGAGATGTAACTTTGCAGTAAGCAATGGTTCCTCCAAAGTTCATATGACAGCAGAAGTGGAGCGTACCATCGAGGTTATATTACGCCTCGCGCGGTCATCGTGGAGATGTAGATGATATGGGAGGATGAGAGTGTCAGTTGGTGAAGGGAAGCGGAATGAAGGGCGAGCTTTGCGCGAATATGTCAAAACGGATAACTGCTAGGTTACCTGATTTGAATTAGGTGGAATTTAGCCAAGCAAGGTTTTTTCATCTGCGAGAATTGGAGTAGAAGGTATGTATAAGTAAACCCACAGGGATTACGAAAGTTTCATTGTCGGCGATCAGTCTGTTCGATGCTTGTTGACATCGACTTCACTCTTGAAGCGAAGCTGAAACATTGAGTGATGCAGACGAGTTCTTCCTTGTGCATGTTCGAACGCTTGGCAAGGCAACAACATAATTCATACCTGGTATAATCAAATAGGGGACACCGGGGACTCGATCAGGGTACAAGTCCCGAGGGTTGAATAGAGAAGATCCGCAGCTACGTTTGACGTTGAACGACCGAAAACACCATCTACAGATGCTCTGCAAACAGGAAAGCGTTGCGGAAACTGATTGTGGACACGCCGCTTACACGCCTCCTGCGATAAGGTCAACGTGCCAAGACATGTATCCCATCATGGCATATTGGTTGAGAAGCAACTTGTTCCGAGACAAGGTGACTCTGAGGCTTTTACCCTGCAAACAAAAAGAAAGTGGTTTGCCAAAGTCGTATCATGAGAGGACAAGTTGTCAAGAAGACCGAAGGGATGCAAGGTGGAAGCAAGAATAGAACAGTGAAGCCTAGGCGGAGCTTGTCGCTTCGTGTGGCAGTGCGTCTGTAGCCAGACCCAATAACAACGGCGCCTATTTACCCTCCACCTTTATATATAGTCAGGGCATTGGCGGGTTTTGCTGCTTGACAACCCCTTCAGTTTTCATTCTACGCGATATCCAACAATTACACTCACGAATACACCAAATGTCTGTGGTTTACGAAAGAACTCCGGTAGCTTCTACTTCAACCACACCTTTGAGTCAGCCGAGCAGTCCGCGCAGGCGAGGCTCCTTTACGAATGGCTCCAAAACCCTCCGACACCGCCAACGACCGATTCCGAACTCATACTGGGCAACACCCTACCTCGTAGCATGCGAGTTCCCATACTGTCCAATCACACC